TTTATCATTTAGTTCAACATCAGAGTTTGTTCAATTAAATATTGTATCTAATAATATATTACATAAAGCAGATTTTGAATAAACATTTATATATATATCGCGCATTTTGAAAAAAAAACTTTGATATTTTTTAATAAGGGAATTCCCCTATTGATAAAATTAATGTATATTGTTTATTTTACGCGAGACATCAAAGGTTTCAAATGAAAAGAAACCATATTCAAAAATCGAGATTAATACACAGGAAGCTACGACCAAATATTTTCCCTGTTTTGAATACATTACCTACTCTACGAACGAAACATAATATTGAAAAAAACGAAACAAGACAGACAAAGGATAAATAAACAAAAATGTGAGTGTTGACATTGTATTATTATTAAAACAATTATTGTCTTTTGATTCGATAAATGTCTTGTGTTATTAACTTAACTGAAATCAAGATGAGTATCAGTTTTTTTTTCAAAAGTAAATAACAAGTTACACAATTGCCCAATCAAAATACAATAATTGTACCATATTTGAAGTGACGTTTTATGTTTTAATGAACTTAATATTTTCATATCTACAAAACAACAGTAAATCATAAATTACTTAAAACATCTAAAATCTAACATCAATATAGGGATTTATTGTGAAAGTATGACTTAGCCTGGATCATTGGTTTCCAATTTTATGGATTTGATCGTTCCTGATAAAGGTAAATCTAGAAAAGCGCCCCGGACGCATCAAATTCATTAAGTGTCGTGTTCATTTTCTGGCACTGGGTTGATACCACTAAAATTGGACTGCTAGATCCCGATAGTTTCACCAGATAAGTAGTCAGTGCTTCGGTACTGACACGATCTCTAATACATCTTTCTTAAATTGTCCGTTGGTATTTTTTTAAATGTAAAGAAATTAAGGTCCCAACTCACTCTGGCAAAGTTGCCTGTAGGTTGATTTGGTTATTCTCTTTAAGCGCCTATACATCATAACATATTCTCAAGTATTTATATTTTTGGGGTTTCAGCGTTCCTGTCATATAAGATAAATCCAGAAAGTACTTCGGACGAATCAAATTATAAAGTTATAAAGTTTCATTGCAGGATAGTAAAAAAGAAGTCTTGCACCAAGCTTTTAATGGTTGTATATCATTTATAAAGCGTATGAATATAAAAGATATCCTTAGACTCCAAATCCTTTTTTTTTTTCTTTTTTTAGATGAAATGAACTTTTGATAATTGCTATAACTATACGTTTGTTGCAGAATCATTGTGTTTTGTGTTTTAGAGGATTTTATCGTGTCGCTCTTTAGCAGTTTGAAATGTAATTACAACATTCCTTTATATGCATTTTCTATTGTGCATTGAAACAATATTTTCATAACAAAAGATTGTGCTTCTCTGCACTGTTACATGTATATCGTGTATTGCACCGGGTCAGTGGACCGAGGATGATTTTAAACAGAGACCCAATGGATAATTGAAAAGACATTCAAACAATATTGGTTTTTTTTTAGTAGAGCTGTTGCATTTAGATACTTGGCAGTTATTTTTGTTCCGTTTGAAACAAACACCGAATCATCAATATGGGTTAATACATAATATCTCCTTAAAAGGTAAAAGTGACTTCGCTTGTTTTGTTTGAACACTTTGACAAGTCATAATTGAAGGCCGTACGATGACCTTTCGATGCTTACATCTACGTCATTTGGTCTCCTATGAATATCATTGGCAATAACACAACATCTTACTTTTATACAGTATAGTATGGGAAAAGAAAAATGCATATGTCACTTCAAAATCAGACCAAATGACAGTTTATGGACGTTTTGGTCAAACTATGTGGAAATCAGCTCAGCGTCGGTCTATAATCATTTTGGGTGATACTTTATTTGTTGAAAGCATTATTTAGTATGGTTATACTTTGTTTGGTTGCCGTCTGTGGTGAAGATATTACCAGAATGTTACTTTACGTTCTGCCAAGTGTGTTTACTTCACAGTTGAGTGGTATTTTATAATTACGTTCAAAAGTCATGAGTGCTAATATATTCATTATTAAAACTATACACGACCGATTATGGTTGAGGCCTTAAGTTTTCATTTACAAATTTATAATTTTCTATTTAAAACTGCACCAAAATCAGACTAAAATGATTTAAAATGAAACTTTTGAACTGAATTTCTATTTTGAAGTGATTACAAAACCCATCATAGATTTTTTTTTATCAACAGTAGAAGGAAAATATGCATTAAATAATGATAAAAACTGTTCATCAATACAGGTAAAAAGATTGTTTGACCCCTTTTGGTCCTTTATCGACATGTGCGGGGTCGCAATCCCAAAAACGCAGGTATTTGAATTCAAATAAAAACCAACAATATCAAGTACGACTTCAGAAAATATGAAGTTGCATATAAATTCAAATCTTAACTACAAGAATATAATAAGAACTAAAACATAAATTCAAAAATTGAAACAGATGGACAAGTCCTATTTCAATATTGTCCATTTATAATCTGGACTCCTTTCCAATTGTAAATTCCAATACCTTACTTCCGATTTACATATCTATAGCATGTTATTAAATTTGTCCAAAATTTCATGTACCCGATTAAAAAATGTAAACTATTTTGCTTATAAACATTGTATGCAAAAATTGCAAAGAAACCAAAACCCTAAAAACAAAATGACATAAAAGGCTACAAAAAGAAGGATAGATGATAAATGAACAAAATAAAATAAAATAACACAAGAAATTCTATAAAATAATCAAAATATTAATAGGAAACATATTGTTATTTTAAATATTGCATATAGCTTCAGACTCTGTAAAGCACAATTTCAAAAAATGAAAAAGGAATTGATGCAAGAAGAAAAAGGGATGAACGGACTGATTTAATACCCCCAATTTTTTTTCTTTTTTGGTTGTTCAAATTCCAAGAACAATTAAAAAATTTGTACAATAGGTCAAGGTTACAAACTTTTTGAGGAGTTAATACATTAAACGTGTATATGTTGGACGGCATGATTTCATATCAGCAGGTTAAGTAACTTGAGTTTGTGTTATTTTCGGATATGATTGTTATTGTTATTTCTTCTGGGTACCTTTTTTTCCACTAGTCCGTCGCGATTTAAAGATGGGATGAATGTTAACAAACTTGTTGAAGGCCGTACGGTGACCTATAGTTGTTAACGTCTATGTCATTGGTCTCTGGTGGAGAGTTGTCTCATTGGCAATCATACCACATCTTCTTATTGTTATAGTTAACCCCGCCACATAGTCATCTGCCTTTCTTAAGTCACATGTTCATGTTTTTCGTCATGACCATCGACAGTGGTTGTTTTTAGTCGCATCTTATGTTTTCCTCTTTTCTTTTCTTTTTCTTTCTTGTTGTTTTTTTTTTTTTTTTTTTTGCTTTTGTGAATTTGTTGATGGCAGTGCTGTGCTATTATGTTAATTCATAAATGGTTTTTTTTTACATTCGGAACATTTTTAGAGCTCGATGTACTATATAAGATTCTTATTTTAATGTTGACCTCTCGATTTGTTTTGATATTTTCTGTTGTTGGATAACTGTTTCATTGACGTATGACACTACCTCACAATTCATTGACACTAGTTTTATTCGTCCACATCATTGGAACTTGAAAACTGGCTGTAACATAATCGCCAAGATTATTTTCAATTTAAAGTTGTCATAGTACTATATATCTAAAAATAAACGAGATTATCAGGAAAATAACAAGGGATCAATCAAATAGATATAAGAAGATGTGGTATGAGTGCCAATGAGACAAATCTCCATCCAAGTCAAAATTTATAAAAGTAAACCATTATAGGTCACAGTACGGTCTTCAACACGGAGCCTTGGCTCACACCGAACAGTAAGCCATAAAGGGCCCCAAAAATTACTAGTTTAAATCCATTCAAACGGGAAAACAAACGGTCTAATCTATATAAAAAACGAGAAACGAGAAACACTTATGAACCACATCAACAAACGACAACTACTGAACATCAGATTCCTGACTTAGGACAGGTGCAAACAAATGCAGCGGGTTTAAACGTTTTAATGGTACCAAACCTTCACCCTTTTTCTGAAACAATAGTGTAACATCACAACATAGAAAGACACACTATAAAATATCAACTGAAATAGCTTAACTCAATCAAAGGACATATTAAAACCATTGAACATACACTGAACAAATAAATTTGACCTATGATACAATGTAAAACACTATTAGTCGAAGAACCAAAGACCGGGGTAAAACGCATGTGCTCCGGAAGTGTAGACAGTTCTTTTTCCATTAGCGACACCTGTCATGTTCTGATGATGAAATAATCCAGTCATTACAGTAAAGAGTACAATTGAAATGTTTGGCGATTACCAAAATGATAAAAATAACATGATGAAAGAAAATAAAAGAATTCTTGTTTCGTTAGAATATTATATTAATGCATACATATTTACACAAGTCTAAGAACATAAGTGCAATAGGCATTTTTTTCGAATATGATTTACAGCATACATTTCTTAAATTTTCCGTTGATAAATTTAGAAAGTATTAAAAATCATACGGTTCCAACTACCTCAGGCAAACCTTAGATGGTTCTGACTATACTTTTTCTTCCCGTTTTGCTATATGAATCTTCAAGTATATTAACATCATTGGCTTTCCATTTGTTTTACATTTTAGAGTTCCTGAGGGTTACTCCAGACATGTACGTCGGACACACGAAATTTAACCTTAATGACAAACAAAATATGGAACATAAATACTTCTATTTGCCGACACCGATAGCGACATGTGATACTGCACTGTGTAATCAAGGCGATGAAAGTTTATAATGACGTTCTTTCGGACCTAATTCTAATGATATTTTACAGGTATTTGTTAGACCAAGTGATTCTAGGTCACTAACTTTCATTAGAAAAAAAAGTTCATGATGTGCGTACGAGAAAACTCCTTGTAAAATATACTGACGTAGGATAGGAAATATAATGTCGAAGAAAAATATTAACTTTTTATTGATACATAATGCATGTTAAAAATAAATAATCACAAAAGGCTATATGAATATGACGAAAAGTCGATGAGAGTATACGTCAATTGCAATGGGACAGCAACTTATCGACACAAAAACACCAACAAATGCCATATAGTGTTCAACATATGACGTCCAACAATCTACAGGTGTCAAGCTCTTCATCGCCCTGAGTAAAAAATGTGAATAAGACTATTGTGAAAGAACCAATCAAAGAAAAAAAAACATAAAAAACAACAAAATCTGATTTAAATTGTCAAGAACGTCAACTATACACAAATCATGGGCTACTTAATAAATATTAGTTAAAATCTGTTATAGTTATAGGAAAATGTCATCAAGTGTTTTCACCAAAAAAAAAATGAAAACTAATATTAAAAATGATAAATTACACTCTACAGGTGGATTTCTGGGCTCCCAAACCATTATCAGTGAGCATGCTTTATATCAAACGTATTATTGTATTAATGAATTTCCTTCCTAAGAATTACCATACCCAGTTATTGTTTTTCCATTTTTTAATATATTTAGTGTTCCCAATAATCTTTCAGTAAGGAAAACTGGGAAACTTAAAATATTTCTTCAATATTTCAATCAATGAAAATAACATTTTCTAAATTTCGTGCGCCCGAAGCGTTCTTTTTCTTCTGGATTTACCTTCATCAGGAACGCTCTTAACCAAAACATTTGAAACTCAAGTGATGAATAAGTAAGTAAAAATGTTAGGAACTATATAAATATAAAGGTAAATGGCATTTAATTTTGCTTGTCTGGAAGAACTCATTGGTTGTACAGTGCTTGTCTTTGTTTACGTTCCTAACACCTCTTTTGTTCTACTTGTTTATGCGACTTTTTGCTCTACAGATAACGTGACAAACACTACTTGTTTAGAACTAGCAACGATACATTTTTCAGATGTTCATTTATATTTTTCATTTTCATTTTCACAAAAATATTTACTCAATCGATTTTGAATAAGTCAATATTTTAGATTTAAGTGACAATTTAAGTATAAAATCGTCATTATGAATTAAAAATTGTTATTTGTCATTTATAAAAACAAAATTTGTATTCGAAATTCCTATCCTGAAATAAGGTTTGTAGCCGTTGAGAAGCTTATTTTTACTTAGTTTGTATTCTTTATAACATGAATTCTGAAAGTTAAAATTGAAAAAATGTAAAACTGATATGGCTTTGATTGATTTTATAAATCTTTTATAAAGATACCTTCACAATATTGTCTTCTTCAAATCTATGTAGTCAGAAAAAAACGAAACTGAAAAAGTATACCTTTATTCGTTTTTTGCAAAATAATACATTTGAGCTGTTACATTGCAAATAATCAATTATTAAAGTACTGTCTGTAGATTGCTGTAAATGACTAATTTGTTGAGAAAATGAAATCATGACCTTATTCAGTGGAATAAAAAAATCAAATCATTTCACATAGACAATATTTTTCCATCTTTGAAGTACATCAGAAATCAACTGAACAGCAATTATTTATCAACAGGAAAGACAATACTTTATTGTTCTATCAAGCTCTTTAATAATTCAGTTTTCTATACCATGCCAGTGTTTGGTTAAATTCTGATAGGGCACTTTTAAAAAGATTGTTTTACACTATCCATAAACTTCACAGTTTCAAAGATAGAACGTGAGAATTCCTCTTTTTTTCAGACGCAACCTTTTATTCTGACCTTTTAAAAAGGTGTATGAAAATAAATGTAACATATAATGAAAAAACAAAAAAATATATTCAGCATTGTTTAAATTATTTGCTTCATTTCAAAGGAAATCTTCCACTTACAGTTTTGTTTGAAAGGAAATATTCCTTATATGTCCAAAAGATTTCATCCTACAAAGTATCGCATGTGTCTTTTTTCGTATTGCTCACTGTCTTCAGAATTGTCTCTTTTCCCAACAAAGTATCGCATTCGTTTTTCCACATCATTATTTTGTTCTTTATCTTGGTCTCGTTTTCCAACAAAATATCTCATTCGTTTGTGGAATGCATTACCATTTATAAAGTCATCTGATGGTCGTTTTCCTACAAAATATCGAAGTCGAGATCGTTTTTCAACTTGATCATTTTCCTCTATATCATCTCTTTTGCCAAGAAAATATCTTCGTTTTCCTAAAAAGTACCTCCTTTTCCCTACGAAATAACGCATTCTTTTCTCCAAATCTTCATCTTGAAAAGGACCAGTTTCATCACCATCTCTTTTTCCTACAAAATAACGGAGACGTGACCTTTTGCCAACAAAATATCTCATCCTTTTTGCAATTTCGTCGTTGTTATCCAATACATCTGTTTGATCTCCATCCGCTCTTTTACCAACAAAATATCTCATTCTTTTTTCTGCTGAAGGTAAAATATCACTTGCTGTTCGGTAATCGTCTACCCGTTTTCCTATGAAATGTCTTAGTCGTTTTTGAAGTTCTTCGTAAGGAATATATCGTTTTGTGCGTACACTATCTTCTGGCGATAAATCTATTTCGGCATTTCGCTTGTCTCTGCTTTCTTCTAAGGCTGCATGTGACTTCTGTTCATTTTGCAGAGATTCCAGTGCTTCAGTTGTTTGAATTGTCAGTATTACGAAACTCGAAAGAAGGAAACATAGTCTTTTGATAGTCAATTTATATCCAGAATTCATATCTTTAAATGAAAATGAAATCCTAAAAATGTCACAAAACTATAAAACAATATAGTGCAACTGTTCTTTCTACTTTTCGTTCTCGCTTCTATGTTAATTTTCGTTCGCTTACATGATCAGGTATGGCTTATTCCTAGAAAGTCACACTACTCGTTTATAGTTTCTTCTATGCCTCTTTACGATCGAACTGACATTTTATGGCATTGAAATTGTGTAGGATTCATCAATACCAATACTGTCAATCAAACGATGATCACACCTTTTCAATATATTATATTGTAATTTGAAAGCTTGGGAAGAAATTTTCTGATAGGCTATTTCTTTTCTAACACACCCATTTATCATTGTAAAATACTCCTACGAACGAACAATATGAACAATATTCAAAGGATCTGCTGTTTTTTTCTTCTTATTCAATTGAGAGATCATTTGAATTATCTTATTATGTAGTTAATATAGTTTGAATTATTGTGTATAGTTATATTCAAATAAAAAGAACGTATGTATTGAAATATATAATTGGTTTTATTGATAAGTACGAGTACAGAAATTATCGGTTACTTTTTAGGAAACAATATTTAGACTATTGGAATTTCACAAAAGTTCGTTAATATTACGTTATAGATGAAAAATGTGAGAGCAGCCATAGGAAAGCATCAATAACTCTTACAGAAACCATTTTATAGTATGTCAAAATCCAATGTTTGCTAATAAAACATACATGTAAACGAATGCTTCAATTAGACGTTGTTAATATGTATTATACACAACGATATAAAAGTATTGTACACTTATTGTTATAAATATTCAGTAGCAGGGTCATTGAAGTAAACAAAAAATTACAATACTCTCACTGATGATATGAATGAGTTGAAGTTTTTAATAAATATTTATTCTTAAAAACGCAATTTTCAATCTTGTAGCTTTTTAATGTTTTTATCATTATTTCTTTTTAATTAAGACCGCCTTGATATAGCACGTGTGTACATGAATGTAAATATTCGCTCATCAAATTTGAAGGAATGAGCTGACGAAATACAAATTAACACATAGTAAACACAACGTACGTACGATCCAATCCGTGGGCAATTTTGATTTCTTTTAAAATTGTAAATTCTCTCATGGCCTTAAACATATTTTTTTAATTAAAAAAAAAAAAGACCAGTCATTTTTATTGATAAAATAAGCAGAGTGCTGTAGCACTTAAGATTTAAAAAAGGACGCATGGTATACGTCATTAAGTAAGCTATCTAAAAGACGAGACGGTAAAATATAGTCTGATAGTTACCACGCAGCCTCAGCAAGCACCCATAATGTAAGACTCGTATTTAATGTCTTAATTCGTTCTTCTGCATATAAAATCAAAGTTATGGCCTTGGAAGAAAATACAAAAACTTCGAAAGAAACGTGACGTCGAAACTCAATGAAATTGTCTTGTGCATCATTACCCATAAAAACGATTAAAATATTTTATAGTGCGACAAAACAATAAGCATTATATATAAGTCGTTGTAATCATCAATAAAAGGCTACTTAGAAAAACAAACAAGAGTCGAATTTCGGTATGTGAAGTTAAGAGCAGAACATCAATTTTAAGCGCCCCTCACGGTAACATGATGCCATGATTTCCTTTTGTACTGGTGTGTTGCAATTATAGATCTTCAATGTTGTTATGATAAAAAAAATCTTTTATGTTCTATATACCATGATGTCATACAGGGACATTTTTTTGGTAGTTATTTCCGATTTTGTATGTATTTTGTTTTCTAAAAGTCTAGAAGTTAAATATTTACTTTTCGAGATTCCAGCTAAATTGTATCTAAATTTATAAACTTATAATCAAGAACATATTTTTTTTTTAATTTTTCACATCTTTGTTTTATGCATTTATGGATAGTTGTATCAGTGGAAATCATACTACATCTTCTTTTTTATATTATGTTTAAGAAAAAAAAGTTCTTTACTTATTATCAAAGTTTCAGTAGCTTGGAATTCGAATGCATGAGTGAGCACGTGTTAATATCCTGTATATTGTCATTCAGGATACAGATAGACAGTCTAACACTGTGTACAAGTCTGAAATTCGAATTTACCATTATATATTTAAATTGTGAACAATTGTAAGTTAGAGACGACAGAAGTCTACCGACGTTTAAATCTCATAAATCCATTTAGAAAATACAAAATCAAGGTAAAAACAAAAACTTGGGAATCGCACTATCTTAAAAAGGAGAGAGATCGGGTGCATCGACAGGGTTTAACACGTCTCCTGCTATGCAGACAGCACCCGCCTTGCGAATCCACAGTCAGTAAATCTACAACTTAGACGTCTGTTCTAGGATCTAAAGTCAAAGACCGCGGAAACATGCCGTTGGTGAGTTGAGACACAGACATATTGTATCGGTCAACCAATTCGTGATATTGATCGTAAAACTTATGTAGTGTCGATTTCAGTCGTTTTTCCTCATGACTCTGTTGGAATAGCACTTCTGTGTTGACATGAATTATCATTGATATGGTCAAAAATATAAATTAACTGTTTACAAAACTATGAACTTTTCGGTTTACTAAAAATGTTCTACCCCAGGAATTGATCACCTTAGCTTTATTTAGCAAAACCTTTCGTAATTGTGTGTCATCAATGCTCTTAAACTTCGTACATGTACTTTCTTTGGCCTTTTTAACTTTTTTTATTCGATCGTCACTGATGAGTCTTTTGTAGACGAAACGCGCGTCTTGCGTACACAATTTTAGTCCTGGTATCTATGATGAGTTATTGGAGCAGTGTTTGTGTCAGGAGCACACCTCTATTAATGAGTCTGTAAACTAGAGGCCCTAAAGAGCCTGCTCACCTACGTCTGCGTGCATTTTCAACAATGGACTCTTTTCAATATTGTAGACTAGAATATAGTTCATGACACAAATATCGTTTTGATGATCTTGTATTGGTGATCATTTTGAGACATTTGTAGATATTGTTTTGTTGACCTTTTTTGCTATTTAAATTGTCTATCTATTTAATATAGTTGTCACGATAAGAGGCAAAAAAACACAAAACATTGGTAAAATTGTCATTAAACAGCAAAAAATACATTAAGGAGTTGACTGACGATTTAGACAATACGAGTTATTTGTAGATTTTGTCTTGCCGACCATTTATGCTTCTAAAGTTTCTATCTACTGTAAACCAACTTATTTTCGCGGATCTTTGTTTCGCGTTTAGCCCTTACTAGCCTATTTTGTGGTGATTTAATTTCGCTATGTTCAAATGTGCTTGATGCAGTTTAAATAGGAAAGATCCAAGTTTTACATATTCTCGACGATTTATATTCGCGTTATTTTTCTACTCGCGAAAGTCGCGAAAATTAGTTGGTTTACAGTATTTATAATAGCTTTTAAGATATAAGGGAAAACGCAAAAAAAAATGGTAAAAATCCCATTAAAAACTCCAATGAAAAGTCTAATAACGATTTCGGCCATGTTGAATATTTTGCTGATCATTTTAACTGTTTCAACTATCTCTCTATCTATTCTTTTTTTTATCGGCAAAAATGAAAAAAGATATGGTAATATTCTTCATCTAAGGACAATAACTCTAAAAAATCGTCTGACAGTTTTGATGTAAATGGATAGTAAGTAGATATCAACATTCTGAACATGTCTGCTCCTCTCAGATTTTCTTTATTTAAAGCGCGTTTCAAAATAATAGACAAAACATGCATTTTACATCGATGTTCTATTTTTAGCCAAGAAGGCCATGTTGGTTGGCAAGCGGGTCATCAGACACATTTTTGAAAAGACAGATAACCTTATGAAGATTGAAGCTAAGTTTGTTTAAGTTTGGCCCAATAGTTTTAGAGGAGAAGATTTTGTAAAACTTAACTGACGACGGACGTTAAGTGATTAGAAAATCTAACGTGGACCTTTGGGCCAGGTGAGCCAAAAAGAAAATACTAGACCAAAAACAAAAACAATAACAAATAATTATCAAAACAAACTTGCACTGAAATTTTGCATGTTTTACGCATCACTAATGCAACCCTTAGTGATTCCATAAGTTTCATGTTTCTAAAATCAGGTATTAATGGAAGTGGTGTTAAAAAAATGACTGAGGCCAAACCCACTACATTCGGTATGTGTTGTCCCAAGTCAGAAGCCTGTAATTCAGTGGTTGTCGTTTGTTGCTGCAGGTCATATTTGTTATTCGTTTATTGTTTTGTACTTAAATAAAGTTGTTAGTTTTCTCGTTTGAATTGTTTTACATTTGTCACTTCGGGGTCTTTTAGATATAGCTTACTACGCGGTATGGGTTTTGCTCATTGTTGAAGGCCGTATGGTGACCTATATTTTTTTTAACTTTCTATGTCACTTGGTCTCTGGTAGAGAGTTCTACTAACTTGTCTCCTTGGCAATCATACAACATTTTCTTTTCTTAATACTGTAAATATGCTATGCTAATGTAACTTTAGTGTCGGTATTCAATAGGTAAAACTAGTACTTGTTTTAAATACTTCTGTATAGGATACAAATTTCTTTCTATCATATCCATGTACTAGTTACTGTTTTTACAATAAAAATAAAAACTTCGATCCTTCAATCATAAAAACCGAGAACCCCTTGTAATTCTATTGGTCTTTCATAGATTATAAGTATAGATTCATAGATACTTTCATACTAATTTACTGGCTATGCGAATACCAAGTATCTTGCGAAGCGGAGAAAAAATAGTTGTTTGTCGAGGGGACCAATAAAAAAAAAGCAAAAATACCGAACTCCAAGGAAAATTTGTGTTATAATCTTAATCTTAAACTTGCTTTTGTTAGAATATCCAGTAAATACGTGCTTTTTTATGAAGGAAGTACGGGAAAATTATTGTTTCCAGTAAATATTCTTTTTACGGGAAGATGTTTGATTCCAGTAAATAGTTCATACCCGTAAATAGTTTTTGAAACGGGTAACCGGTATATTATAGTCTTTTGCGTACAAATAGTAAATGTATTCGTCTATAAGTACTCACTGAGATATAATAAATCAATATACTCTCTATTTTTATTACATTTTACATTCATTAATGTTTTATTCACTTCTCAATAGCTTAAGCACAGAACCCGAAGGGGCTTTGAAGCCAAGACAGCTATTTGAACAGAATATTTCGAGTAGATTTTCCAATGAGCTACAGTAGTAATC